AAGGGCTACCCGAAGAAGCTCAGTGTTTGTCGATAAAATATCGATCCTGTTCTTAAGCAAATCATTACTGGCGAAAAAGTACAAGTGATATACGAAATTATCTTTGCAAATATGATTTTGAATCGATTGGTGACATAGAAGAACAGTCTTTTGTAGGTCCTTCTGGGTGTTGCATACATCCGCGCAAACTTAATACACCCTGTGTTACAAGTGCTGCAAGGTAAAAAAAAACGATTGAAGAGAGAATTATCAGCCCACCAAGTTTGTTGTGGCTCGCTTTTAGACTAGAAATTACAACTCTGCCCCTCTATCTATCTATATCTCAAAAATTGCGATCTATAATTTGAATATAAAACAAGGAATGGCCGGCAGACAGAGAGGCAAACACATAAAGCGAATCAGAGAGTGTTTCTGAACGGATCGATATAATTACATGTGGCTGGTCTATCTCAAGTCCTTCTGCGTGTTGCATTCATTTGAAGAAACTTAATATATCCTCATATTGTTGTAGGGTATAAAATATTATTGGCTCTTATATTGCTAATCAACTTTATTGTTCTTAAAGATTTGCTTTTCCTTTTTTTTTATGCGCACTTTTAATCTTCAGTTTTTCAAGCATTTTGACCGTAAAAAGTGTTACTCTCATTTAATGTATTATAAGGATTTCAATGAAATTTATTACATCTGATATCATATTAATGCTATTTTGTATAGTTTTGGCAACAGAAATTAAATCATAAATTGTGATAATAGTTTTTTATACGTTTGAAGTCGTTTTTGTTTTCTGCTAATTAACTTACTTTTCTGCACAAATTAAGGTGATTATAATTCGGCTTCATGGCCAATATGTCAACCGGCCAAAAATGAGAAATATTTCTTATCGTTATTTGAAGTAAGAACAAGAAAGAAAGTAGAAGAGAAATCAAAGCAGCAAAGCAAAACTGATAAAAAATTCAGATTCCGTGCGCTATGAATTTTACATTAATGTTCCAATGGGATCAAATCCAATGCTTAGTAGGATAAGTTATAGTAGGATTCATTATACCCATTACCGAAGGATGAGGGGTATATGCGAAACATTTGCAACGCCCCAAAGAAAGCATCAGAGATCCCACAACGTATATATACTTTTGATCGGCATCAAATTCTAAATCGCCATAAGTATGTCCGTCTGTCCGTCTGTCCGTCTGTCTAATGTCTGTTGTAAACATTCTCCTGGCCACAAAACCAATGCAGAGGCATTGCAAATTCTTGCACGCAGGTTGATGTTGAAAATAAGCCAAATCGGTTGAAGGACACGCCCGTAGCACCACGAAAACTGAGAACACCTCAGTTTTTCAAAAAAAAAAAAAAAAAGAAAATGAAAAATTAGTTTTGTGCTCATTACTCATAAACTGTAGCAAATAAATGTACAAAACTTTGAACGCATAATTTATGGGCGACGCTGTAGCAGTTGTGCACAAAAATTCGAAACATTGACTACGCCTGCCCAATGTTACAGTGTATCGAAATTTAATTCTTCATACAAATTCTTGGCCAGTTTCAAATCTTGAATGGAACTAAACATTTCCGCCTGTTCGTCTTTTTACGGAACTTTGTAATATTTGTGGTAAAAATTCCCTCGTTAGCGAAAATAAAGCTGTCGTCTACAAATTTGCGAAAGAATTTGAAATTTTTTGAAACTTTTTAAAGGTCACGCCTACAACATTCGCTTACCTATGCGACAAACACTTTTATTTTGAAAATAGACAAAGTTGGCTGCGTCCGCCCCACATTGTAGAGTATGAAATAAATTTCTTCACAGTGGCTTCCATATTATAGGTAATTGATTGGCGTAAATTTGTACGTAAGAACTAAACAACACAACACTCCTGTCATATATGACAACACTGTGGACAGATTCATACGCTATCTGCAAAGCAACCGCGTTTAATCAACACATGAAATTCAGATGTTTCCATTGTTTCCCAAATATACAAAACATTACCATCACTAAATATAAACCATCGGTCTTTAGATCAAATGTCATAAAATTTTGACACGACAGAAATCGTACGAGCGTGTCAACAGAGTTGTCATACATGTGTTATTAAGTGACGTGAAATATATATTCTTTACTTTACCTCTCAGTCAAATCGTATACCCTAGCAGTCCGAGAAATGAGGAGACGGTCCTTAACTACATCTCCCATACCTTAATCTTAAATCTATAGTTCAAGACAGCGATTCTAAGCAATTTAACATAGAGAAAATTACAAAAAAGGCATTTAACCGTTTTTAAAAGAAAATCAAACCAATGCAGTCCATTAAAAACAATGCCGTCCGCCAAGCACGATTATCGAACATCGTACACCACTTCGCTTAATATAATTTTTCATTTGTTTTCGTGATAAAATTGCAAAGAATTACTTGGTTTCCTAATAAGGGCAGGTTTTTTATGAGAGCCATTATATGAAAGATGTCCCTTAACGTGGACTGACAATTTCTTTTTTTTTTTAGTACACAGCAATCAGTCAGGGGATGCCTTGTATTCGCGTAATACGATGGCGATGGCCAGAAAGAAGTGAGGAAAGAGAAAGTGATAAATAGGAATTGGTGTCCGCCACCTTGTGGGTGTGTGCCCACTCGCTATACCTACAGCACAAGTAAACTCTAACCCACTTGAGATTTGAACTTGTGCACAGTGACGTGCAAGTTGCGATTCTTTCCTGCTAGGCTACTTAATCATGGAACGTATTTAGGGAAATTAATCTTCTTGTCGTAGATTTTATTAATATTCACTTATTGCTAAAAATAAGAGTTCCTCACTGTAAGAAGACTTACTTTTCATGGGCATATTTATACTAGGCGGTGCACGCAAGATAGACAATCGTGGTCTAAATTAGGTGGAGTGAATTTCTATGTGAAGTTGCTATTGTGGACTATTTCCGTCGCATAAATGCTTACTTTTCATGAGAATGTTTATTTGGCCTGATGTATAATCACTAGACCTACGTTATTCAAACTTGTTACAGTAGATAATTATGCCGAATAACAATTTTTGAAAAATTCACTGAAATATTGGTTCACTGAATAATCGATTCTGCCAAATAAACGCTTACTTTTCGAAGAAATGATTGTACAGAAAAAATCAGCTCATCGAGGCCAAACTATTCACTTCAATTTGTATACCGATTTTTGTCAATTAATTTTTATTATAATATCATAACTTGTTCTCATGTAACAAGGGAGCGATCGTAAGAATGCTCAAATCCAACACATTGTGAAGGTCGTACATTACTGAGACAAAGTGAGCCACTATACCAATATATACAAATTCAGACTTGTAGGTTGAGCATGGCAAGTGCAGAAGTAAGCAACACTTCAGGGTGCTATATATGAAACTATCTTTAAGAAACTGTACAAGTTGTCACACACAACATTGCCTTGAAGGTTTGAATAGCTGTAGTTCTGTGCTCAAAAAAAAAAAAAAAAAAAAACCGCATTGAGTGGACTGGGTGGGTTTTGCACACATGGGGGGAACATGACAAGCAGTTTCATTGATTAATGGGCAAGTGGATGATAGATCTACAAACCGGCGGAGAAGTAAGCAGACAGATATGATGGGATGAGAAAAGCATATACAAACGCAACTTATTACGCGTCAAGCTCGTCTTCTCGGTGATAAGTATGGAATTTGCATAATTTTGTGTTTATAGAATCTGTGTTGTAAACCTATACGAAATTATTTTTATCATTTATTTTTCTAATTTTACCAAAAAAATGCAATTTTTTATTATACATAAAGCTCATCCATGGTGAATAGACAGGTGCAAAATTCGTAAAATCTTTTCATTGCAAAATTTACTCTTGCGTTTTAAATGAACCTAGAGTAACCAAAATGTCGGCCATTGCTTCTAAAAAAGATTTTATAATGTTACGAACATTTCACTTTTAGTCTGTATGAAAACTGGCCGGATTCCTAAGGAAGCAAATTCTAAACATCGTAAATGACGCTGCAGCTGGTAGCTTGCGGAAAGGTTAACAATAATTCAGAGAACATTTTGCAGAGACACGCAATTAGCACAGAAATGTTACAATGAAATTTAGTTTAAGTGACTTGTCTGTGAAAGGACACAAAAGCAAGATATTTGTGGAAGACAATGACCGATAAATACGTACGATCATCGACCCTACAAAAGTTCCGGGATCATTGAGTGATAAATTGAATCATGTGATTTTTTCTTTTCAAGTCAGCCTTTACGAGAATGCTGAAGGAGGCAAAACAAAAGGTGATCGGGCGGGCTAAGCTCCATGCTAGATAAAAACTTGCCGAACCATCTGTCTGAAGATGTGTACGGCCTAGTTCCGCCGTGCTAGCTATTCAGCAATTTTGATCGCTGTACCTTAGATCGCTCGTTTTAATCGCATTAGTTATTGATAGCAGAGAGTGAATTCAATTGCTTGCTCAGGTTGAAGGGGCTCATCATGCACGATTGCTTTTTAATCCTCCATCAAGCACGAAGCATTACTTCACATGGTTAAGGATCAGCAACAAATTTATTTAAAAATGCCTTTTGGTCAACGCTTAGCAGCAACATAAATTTAATATTGAAATTAACAAAGCGGGAACGAGCAAATCGTTTGTTGAGTTTGACAGCGTATTTTAGTCGCTGCTATTGAGAAAAAATTCACGAACTTTTTATGTTTGCGGACAAAGGGATATTCTGCCTCTTATGGTCAGAAATTGAATTTCAGGAGAAAAGTTACTACAAGTTTTTTCTTAACCTGGCTTAATCGCCAGCTTAAGATTTATAAAAGTTAGTATATTTTCTGATCGTTATATCGGAAGCTTTCAGAATTTTACTTACCAAGTCAAACATCATATCCGTAGTAAATAAGCGCAAGTCGAACTATAAAGTTTTGAACTTTCTTGTCATATTCTGGTAACCTCATTATTACGTGTTTGTCTTGCGATTTAAAAGTAATTTTAATATTTTTTATAATTTTGTTTCTTTGCAGCACACAAGGATGTTTTCCTTCACAACTCGCACCTGAAGAAGAAGAATTAATAAAATAAAATAAATAAATAAATCTTTGAAAACCAGCAAAGAAAAAAACCACAAATTGCATAAAATTTCAAAAGGAATTTATTTTTTTTTTGGGGTTGAAAATGGCCAAGAAAACGAGGGGATATAAGCATTACTGCTGTTAGGTATTGAGTTATCGTACTGCAATGTTATTATATCTTAATAACGAGAAAAATACTATGAAATGAAAATACCAATAACAAAAAAAAAAATGAAAATGAAAATGAAAATAATAATAAATAAATTCGTTGCACTGTAGAGGACTAGAAAAATGTAATCAATGAAAATAAGGAAAAGCTTTGACAATCAATGCGATAAATAAATTTAATAAACAACTTGAACAACAATAACAGCAAGAACACCAACAACTGCTATTCAGTTATGAAAGTCAAATAACGCTATGCGAAAACGTTAAAAGGAAATAACAGGAAACAGAAGAAGAAAAAGAAAAAAAAATAAAAAAAAATTAAGAAACAAAAATAAATGAATAAAACGGTATAAGAAATAAACAACTTATACGAAAGCCGGAACCACAAATAAGTAATGTCAACGAGCAGAAAGGACATTAAAAAGTTCCGAGAAAAATAAATACGGAGCGAACTAAAACAAACCAAAAAAAAAAACAAAAAAAAAAGAAACAGAAATAGAAATAAAAACAAAAAATCTTGGCGGCTATTTTGTTGCGTTTATTTAATATTAATTGTATGCTAGGTTCATAGAAATGAAAGCGAGGGGCGGGAGCGAGAGATAGAAAAACAATACAAAAAAAAAAAAAGTGCGGAAACTTAGTTAAACATAATTAACGGAAACGCCTTCGGTCTTCTGGTCTGGCTTTAATATACTTTGTCTCTTTGTTCTTTCTCCATGTGGCAAATGGATTAAAATGTAGAGAGAAAAGAAAAGTAAAAAAAAAAAAAGGAGAAAGGAGAAAGGAGAAAGGAAAAACAAAAAGATAGGCCAAAATCGTAATACGAGGCGAAGTTAACTTTGAAAGCTAAAAGTGCGTACGTAAGTTTGCTTAAGCAACCGAGCTAAACAAGCAAATATTTTAAAAAGATTCTTAACTACACCAACAGCTAAGACAACAAAGTGAAAACATACAAAAATGACTTGACAGTAACCGCTTTGTGGTAAATATCAACTTTATGCTCAAGTGACCAGTGGTAGTAGTCAACAAAAACACACAGAGACTGAATTGAAGAAAAAACCTCATAAACTGTCAGTGGTTGCAGAAACAGAAACAGATAAAAAAGAAAAAAAGAAACATAAAATAAAAGTTAGACATCAGAAAAAGTAATGCGAACAAATTGAAAGACAAATCCAACGGAAAAAAAAAATATATATATAAATATCATGACAATAACAACAACAAAAATGAAATTGAAATTAAAAAAAGAAAACCAAAACAACAGTGGGACCGAAAGAAACCTAAGCGTTAAATTGCAACTGTAAAGGAATATTTATAAAGGAAAAACTAAAAAATAGCAACAGCACTCGAAGCAGAAGCAGAAGAAGAAGAAGAAAGAAATCCACAAAAATAGAGGGTGCATAGTAAACAGTTAACAACTGCATGAAAATAGAGTTACAGCAGCAATAACGACAACATCATCAGAGGCGGACAGCAAGCTGTACGAGAAAGTAAATTCTCATAAAATACAAAAAAAATAAATAAAATAAAAAAAAGACATTAGTACAAAAAGGTATATTAGCCTGTAGGCTGATCTGATTTACTCTCGGCAAACAAAACTTCTTGTTAGCTTTGCAGTTACGTTGCACTATGACATAACGTAGCATATGCGTTTGCTAAGTCATTGAGGGCATTTTACTGAACAATTTCGGGGCATTACTTTCCAGGTAGTAGACAGTTCCTAGTTTAACCGGGTAGGCAAAGGATCTCTAACAACTCATTCAACATCTGCCAATAACCTTAGAAGCTTAGTGCTCTACGCGTTTAGTCTTCGAATTTATTTCTCTGCAGCAGCTTTCGATATCAAGAAGACACGCCCGATATTCTTATCAAGAAAATGCTTATCCATTGAGGTGCTTTCTTATAAGTCTGTACTTAGTCTAGTCTTACAAGTTAACATCACTTGCAGTTAAAAAAAGGAAAAAAAATCACTAAGATACACTTGGTATTATTATTAGCAAAGTTTTACTAGACTCAACTTTCATTGATTTTAGGGCTAAAAGTGACAGCGAGAATCTAGAAAATACATTCGATGTTGTTATTAATAAGAGTTTCGTTGTATTTATTGTTCTTATGATCTGCTGCCGCTAGATCTTATATAAGCGACTTGAAGCCCTGTCAGAAAGAAAAGATGATCTTGACTTAGATAAGCCGCCGGGATAAGAAAGAAAATATAAATTTTATTTTCGCTATATTTGTAGATCTCACAAAAGCCATAACGTATTTAGCGCACCGGTTTGTTTGAAATTAGAAGCAAATAAAAAAGAAGTGGCGAAAAGCATAAAACTCTAGCGGTTGCCAGTTATTAATAACAAAACTTGCTATAGGAAACTTTTTAGTTGAGAAATGAGCATAGCTAAAAACTTTATAAAAACTAAAAAAACAACAACAACAACAACAACAATAATAATAATAATAATAAAAACGATAACAACAAAAGCAAACAACAGCAGCGGTTAAATAAAAAATGGCATATATTTGGCGTAGTATTAAGCGGGCCTCTACTAAAGGCTCTTCATACATCACCAACAGGAGCGGCCGCAGAGGCAACAACAGCAACAGCAGGAGGAGTAGCAGTAGCATTAGCAATTGTATATGCAGTAGTTGTAATGAGAAAGGCAGCTACAAAAACATTTGCTTTGAGTGTCGGCAAAACAAAACTCAGCAAAGCAACAATAATAACAACAACAATAATGTTCGCAGTGCCCAAAATTATTGCAACAACTATAGCAGTGGAAGTTGTTTTAATAGTAACACAAGTCCGTTACGTTTTATTTTCACAAGCAATTTTATTAGATTTATCACAAATACCATCACTAACCATATTTTCTGGTCGCCGTTATCGTCGCACTCGACGACCGCCGCCAGTGCCGCCAGTAGTATCAACACCAACACCAACACCACCATCACCACCCTCACCACAACCATCAACACAAAGTCTACTTCAATTTTAAACTGCAACAAAAACTTTTCCACCATTGCACTTAAATGGTGTTTCATCTTATGGCATTTTCTCTCCATATTGGGTAAGTTGTTGGCAACAATAAAAACAGAAAATATTATATTTTTTTTTTTTATATTATATATATATATATATATATATATATATATGAAATATGAAAACTGCAAATATTTAGTTTTCATTTTTCCTTTTCCTTTTTTTCTTTTTTCTTTTGCTTTTTATTTAATTTATAAATATAATAATTTTCAGAAATTTCCCTCATGCAGTGCATGTGGAAAGAGGGAATAAAAAATGTTACTTTTCTCTCTGATGGTATTAAAAATATATATATCAGTGGTAGAGTATTTTGCAAGGTTGGTAGGCAGGCGAGGTATAATTGTTATTTAATTAAAGGAAATTTCAAAGGACGGAAACGTTTTACTTTATTGATTAAGGTAATAATTAGATTTTCGATAAACTTTAAATGGGCTTATGGTAAAGTTGCTGTATACCCTATCTACAAAAAGTTTTAAGCTTTCGTGAAACCATTGGTATATCAGAAAAGTTGATGTCTTTCGTAATCTGTTCATTGAATTTAAAGAAAAAAAAAAAAAAAAAAAAAGAAAACAGTAAAGTCGATCAAAGCTGGCCTTTAAATATCCTGCTCTATTTCACTTAACGCAGCTCTTTAACTCTTCTTCGTTGTGATGCGCCGCGAATTAGATTGTGTTGTCATCTAAAGGCTAAGATTACCTTTCATCGAAAGGGATCTGAAAAACAAACGTATATGGTCCAGTAAATTCACATGTCGAGTCACTATTACTTAATAGCACATATTAAGAAGTAGCCCTTCTAGTCATTTCTTATCATTTTTATCTGCTGGAGTAGTCGCATAAGTAAAAATCGCGACGAAGACTGTGTTCACTGGGTTCAAGTCTCAATGCGGTAAAATTTATTTTGCTTGCAGTTATAGTGAGAGCGCAATTGGCGTAACACCTACCGATTGGGCAAACACCCACAGGCCTGTGTCCGCTTCCCTGTCTCTTATTGTTTTGCTTACTACTCTCCGATCGTTAGCATATTACGCGAACAGGAGACCTTACCCGAGTAATTGGTCAGATGACAAAAAACAAAAACTTAAAGATTAATTTTGTGGAAAACCGCAAGAAATGGTCCCATGTCATCTTAATTTTTCGCATGTATTTGTTATTGTTAGTACCAAAGAAGTAAATCCTAGGACTGAATGTAAAATCATCTCTTTTTTTTTTTTTTAAAGATAGACTAGATAGCCAGACTATTTAGTATGCTGTTAGAAAGCATTATTTGTCACCTGATTTTCTTGAGAAAGATTATAAGTGAAGAATTGTACATCGTACTCCACTTTCAGTACAAGAACGCATTAAGTGTGCGCGAATGTACGCGGAGGACCGGAGAAAATCTCTCTCGCTCTACTCGTAGAAAATCGAATAATATTTCCATATACATGAATTCACGATAACGAAATGATTGTTCAATGTAAAACAAATTCTGTTATCTGCTTTGTTAAGTACGGCACACATGAATATGAAAAATAATCCTGTATCGATTGGCATAATAAAAAGTCCTCCTAGGTATTGCAGACACTTGTCACAAATGGTTCAGTGTAAGGAGATATAAATACCAATGCAGTAAAGGAATTATCTTTGTGCTGTAAAGGATTTTGGAGTTCCACAGTTACTATAAAACAATAACTTGAATCTTTGCATTATTGCCAGACTCCTCAAAGCAAATAAATGGGCTTTTGTTGACCAAGCACAAGTGGATGATGGTTTGAGTGGATTAAATCAAATAAGATAAACAAGACACGTCTAGGCTCTGTTGACCCCACGTTATAGTGTGATAAAAAAGAAGGCAAGGTATTCGGCATCGTATAGAACTTATTAAATCCTTTAAAGAATTGTCTGCTTGTATGATGCTTCTGCCACGTTAGAAAGGGCTGGAAATCACATTGGATTATTGGCATTGTTAAGATTGTTCTGAAAGCCTATATTGCTTGGACATTGCAACCGCCAAATGGTAAGATCTGTAAAAAGTTATACTTTCTTTAAGCTTGGCACTTTCGAGCGCCTTTCAGGAATAAAGTCTTTGTATGATTTCACAGTCAATTCATTGAGTCGATATTAAGTTCTAAGCTTTAATAAAGTTTTCATAGGTAACTTACAACCGATAGCCAATATCGATCTAAAAGTTTAGTCAGCGATGCGGATCATTCTATTGACAGACTAGAAAGTTTCTTCGGTGTGTCGTTCAACTTTTCCTCAAAGAGAATAAAATTTTTCACTTGATTAGCATATCTTTTCGCACGCGAGCATTACAACTCATCCAATTGCAATGTTTTATTTTGCAAAATGCTTTTACGAAACATGACTCATACGCAGTGCATTTACAGTTAAAATGATATCAACATTTTATTACTTTGTCTAGACGAAATTAGAAAAAATATTTTATATATGGAAAATATATCTCTACATTTGATGCTTAAGCAGCGAAGAAAGAAGCGGAAGCAGCAATGACTGAATGCTTAAACGAGGCTTCTCCTTGCAAATGGAATATATTTTCATAAAATTTTTAAAAAAAAGAAAAATGACTTAAGTTATCCTTTATAGAGAATATTGTCAGAAAATAAAAATTTCTTCAAGTAATTTTTAGTTTCATTAGTAAAGTTACGCCAGGACGGAAGGGAAACACAAAAAACATAACTTTTTATTCTTTTGAGAGTAATCCAAAAAAAAACAGCTAAGGGCAACAGTTTCCGTTAAATTAAGAAAATATATAAAATGTTCGAGTTTTTATTATTTTAAATGAAATGAAATTTATATGAAGAAAAAAAAAAATATAGTGTTAGTAACATGTCCAACTCTTAAAGTTTAGATATTTCTCCCAAGTTATTCCATTGTAATCAAATTTGTATCCATTCACACTTGGCTTGTATGTAACACGATTTCATATAAATTATTTAGGAAGTGTAGCCTAAGTAAGTAAGAAATTTCCTTTTATGTAAACAAGGATTTTATACATCCGTAATCTTATTTAAATAAACATAAAAATAGAAAAAAAATAAAATTTAAAATAAAAGTTTGCAAAAGGGCTTACAAGGAAAAAAAAAAAAAAAAAAACTGAAATAAGAAGTAGACGCCTGCACCGAACCACTCCTTACACTTTAACAAAATGCGTTGGTATGTGAAAAGCCGTTTATAATTGTCATATCATCTACTTTAAGGCGAAGGGATGAGCAAAATACAGGGACGGAATTCAATTACAGCATGTGGTCGAGGAAAACAACTAAAAACACTATAGTGGGACACGACCCACCATCAAATATCCTACAATACTTCCCTTAATACACTTATTCATACAGAGACTGCTTAAGATAGGCTGGTGTATAAGAAGTCGCCGGACAAAGACAGTTCAACCATTTTAAATACCGTTCGTCCTTGGGCCAAAAAATGTCGGTGTACGAAAGTTCATCAACGTAGCTCAAGAGCTACGATATGTTGAGTGAACACAAGAAACCAAGATAGACAGACGGATAGACGAGGGGGATCTATGTCTAGTGCTGCTACGTGTTGCATGCTTACGCACAAACTTAATATAGTCTTGTACCAAACGGATATAAGAATTGCTACATACCCCACATGATACATTATGATACAATGTCTTTACGTAATTTTTGAAACGATATGGCAGCACGTTTTAGGTGCTTTCGAAAAATAAAAGTCATACCCCGTCCTACACTATTTTAAGTTTAAACTAAAAATATCCGCGAAGCCGAAATTGTGTCTTCTAGGTGTAATTGCAGCTAATGTTTATGCGAAAAGATGCTGATCCGTTACTCATGCAGATCAACACATGCAGACTTACGCATTACGGATTTTTTAATGCTTATTTCCAGGTCATACCTTTAACTCATTTAGCAGCAGTGGAACAAGTAGGAGCTGGCCAAAGATGATATTCTAAATAAAATATTTTGCTCGCTTTTCTTCTCGAAAAGCTGATAAGAAATTAATGCTTTACTCAAAATTCGACACAAAGTGAATATAAAAGTTTTCCTCATCTAAATAGGAAAACAAAAAATTTTACGATTTATTTATATTGTTTCTTTGTATTAGGATTGGTCGGGCGAAAATCGGTGATAAATTCCTTTAGTAACTCTTTGCTTGCACTATTACAAGTTCTCACAAATCCGGCTAAGAAAGAAATCTGAGATTATTTTCTTACGATTCTTGTTTACCTCTGTTTAGCTTCAATTAAAGTAAGTGAATTTTTAGAACAATTTTTATATACTGTCGTGCATCCAGCAAATTTCTTAAATACTTTTAAATTTTTAGCAAATTTGTAATTAAAAACTCTCTTTATTTTAAACGGACAATAAACTAGCCAGTCAATGAGCAAAGATTGACGAACTCATTAAAACTGATGACTACATTAGCGAAAATTAACAAATAGAAACTTGAGTTATGTAGCAAACAAAGACGGCAAAGATGGCTTTGTTTGCTTAGTCGTTGACTACGTAAATTCATCCTAATCATTAAAAAAAGTAAAGAACAAAAAAAAAAAAAAAATCTATGCTTTTGTTCTACATTCCAAAAGATTTTATATAGCAACTGTGGCAAAGAATGGTAAAAAAAGCCTCGAAATTTCTTTAGGCAGATATAACTAGAAAGAAAGGTAGAAATTGAAGTTATTTACATACATCAAACAGAAATAATGACTTTATTACAAACGTAGACAAACCAAGTTTTCCTCTAAAATTATGTGACAACAAGCTATTAAAAGTTCAGCATTTCGTAAAAACAACTGTTGAATTCTCAGTGCGGGGTATCAAGCTTATGGAAGTCAAATCTTCAAACTAATGTTATAGGTTTATTGCTATAGAAAAAGAATTTTATGAAGCAATTTAAGCGACATTCTATGCTCTTTATGGTTGCGAGTGTATTAAGCTTGCATAGATGTATATGTCACGCGACAATGGACTTGGAAAAAGTCCATCTTGTACTTTATCAGAATCAGTTTCTCATTTAATTTTGTCAGTCCGCCTGTCAGTCT